AAAACTGTAATGATCTGTAGGGGCAGATGAATACAGCATCACACACACTCACAGGGCTAAATCACTCCATGAATTGCATCCTAAATCACACATCACATTTGTTCACGTTCTCGCAGTGCTCCTGTTCTTATTTTGGCGAGTGTCACGTTGATTTGCTGCCAAAATGGGGTGTTGCAGTACATGACAGGGAATTGGAGAGAAATGTCAGAGGCAGTCGTTAAATCTTTCACCTCTGTTCCATTCTTAATCGTTGAGTGTGACAGACCTCGTCAGAGGAGGGAGAGATTTCAGTCGGTAGAAGTTGAGTTGGCTAGTGAGACACCAGCTTAAATCTGAATTGATGATACTACAAGTAATGAAGCAATACAATTACCAAAACAATAAAATAAAATAAACTTTGTGTATGTGTGATTAGATTTTGTATAGAAGTAAATATGGATTAGTAAACAATGAAGTTCATGGACATCTATTTGCTATCTGGTCTCATGAGAAAACTGTGAATATACATATGTTTTTGCGAAAGTGCAGGTACAAAATGCAGGACTTTGCAGAGAATAACTGATGCTTAAAACAAGTTTAAAGAAATCTAGATTAAAAAGAGAAAATTTTTGATTAATGACACAAAGTTATAATATTATGGCTTCATAGTTCTTGGATTTGCTTGGGTTTTGTGGAAAAGGGCAGCTTGAGGATTTTTTTTCTTAAAGTGATCTATCCCAGTACAAATATACTGGGACTCTACTGGTGGTAAATGGTACTAGCAATATCAAGGTCACATCAACAAAAAAAGGACTTGAAACAAAGATCAACAGAAAAAGGACTTGAAGCAAAGGTCAACAGCCTCAAGTAATGATTCCGTTTCAATGGCATAGCCCGAAACAATGATGAAGGTCTGGGATGTCGTTGTCTCGTCCTCAAGGCACAAAATGTGCAGGAATGCGTCACTGGTCTCTGCATTTTGCAAATATTCCACCATGTTGGTCCCCACCTGTTAATTATACAACACTTAGTCTTGCAACATAACTAACAAGTTAAGTGTATTTTATGGAAATCATATATAATCATATACAGTTGAGGTCAAGCGTTTACATCCCCCTTTCAGAATCTGCAAAATGTTAATTATTTTACCAAAATAAGAAGGATCATACAAAATGTGTGTTATTGTTTATTTAGTACTGACCTGAATAAGATATTTCACATAAAATATGTTTAGGCTACATATAGTCCACAAGACTAGAGAAAATAATAGTTGAATTTATAAAAATTAACCTGTTGATTCTTAATACTGTGTTGTTACCTGAATGATCCACAGTTGTGTTTTTTTGTTTAGTGATAGTTGCTCATGAGTCATTTGTCTTGAACAGTTAAACTGCCTGCTGTTCTTCAGAAAAATCCTCAATCCACAAATTAATTGGTTTTCCAGCATTTTTTGTGTACAGGTGCATCTCAATAAAGTAGAATGTCATGGAAAAGTTAATTTATTTCAGTAATTCAACTCAAACTGTATATTTAGGCAAAATAAGAAAAATTCACCCCCGGCTCTTAATGCATCGTGTTTCCTTCTGGAGCAGTGAGCGTTTGAACCTTCTGTAATAGATGCATATGAGTCCCTCAGTTGTCCTCCAAGATGGCGGATGTCCGGAATCCACGGTATATATATATATATATAATATTAGAATGATTTCTGAAGGATCATGTGACTGGAGTAATGATGGTAAAAATTCAGCTTTGAAATCACAAGAATAAATTACATTTTAAAATATACTCAAACAGAAAAGTTACGGTATTTTAACAGTAAAAATATTTAAAAATTTTGCTGTTTTTGCTGTTCTTTGCATCAAATAAATGCAGGCCTGATGAGCAGAAGAGACTTCTTTAAAAACATAAAAAATCTGGTCGTCTATATATCTACCCTTATTAGAGTAGAAAAAGTATAACAAAACTTACAGGTTGTATGTAAATGAATGACTTCCGGGATTCCGTGGTTGTGGGTCTGGAGACCTCTCCGCCTTTCTTGTATATTGATGGGGGAAGCAGAGTGGGCAGGACTTTGAAAGCACTCTCCCCTTTAGCATCTAAACCATAATAATAATACAGTGCAAACTGTGAAACTGATCTCATAATCAAAACGACACATTGAAACACTTTTTCCTGTGAAAATTTCTTCATTCCTTTAAATAGCTTGGATGTAAATATGCCTGTGCACCTGTACATGTAGTTTCATGAATATGCAAATTAGTCCTCACCCCCATTCAACCACTGCAGGCCCCCCACCCCATGGTCCCCATGCTGATGAGATAAGTTACATGTATGTGATGCTGGGAAACAAAGGCGAGGTTTTTGAAACTGTAAATGGTTCACTGGAATTTGAAGGACAAAATACTGTTGACTGATGAAATTAAACATGGTTAATCTTAAAGAATATAAAAAAAATTGCAGCCTTTACATGTAAACAATATATATTTTTTATTATGGTAAACTGACTGAGGATACCAACATCAGGTTTCTAAATTCATGAGAACTACTAAGAGTTTTTGTGCTGAATATAGGTTATGCGAGAAGAACATAAGTTTGGAACTACAATAGTGGCAAGACAGAGCAAGCGAAGAAAAGCAGAGAGGAAGAGGATAAATAACAGCAAGGATACTGGAGTAAAGACCAAACAGTAATAATAATAATAAGCCATTTAGTGGCAGTTTTAGAGCTAGTTTATGGAGGGCCTAAATGCTTCAGGCAGGTAAGCAACAGCCCAACATTAGTGAAAAGTTTTTCAATGATATGGTAAACAACAAAGCTGCATTGGTAACACTTTAGTATGGGGACCACATATTCACTATTAACTACGACTTTTGTGTTTTAACGTTGTTGTAGTGATTAAGTTTAGGTATGGGGTAGTAGGGCTGTGACGGTGGCAGATTTTTACCACCGCGGATTTTACCACATGCAATATCGTGGTCAGTTAAGTCATGAAGTTACCAAAAATGCGATTAAAGCTGCCTTAAAACTGTGCATGCATGTAATATATTTTATATGAGTCACATTTAAGAACATGTCTCTGAAATGGTTTTCAAAACTGTCCAGGAGCAGCCCATCACTCTCTCACTCATCTAACACACCCGATTTAACTCGTCGGCTCGTGTTTATTTTAGCACTTCGGACAGTGAATACGCAGCCTGCAAAACACTAAAATAAATATCAAAGAAATAATACAGTTAAACAAGAAAGTAGCCTAAATAAGAAAGCAAAATACAGGACCTGTCTACAGGATGCGAGCTGCACGGCGCGACAAAATACTATAAAACTCATTATAATCAGTGATACTACACTGGATGCAGCACGACATGACAAATCCCCGACAGTAAACTGCCTCGTTCTATTTATGAGGTACTGACACAGAGTTCAAATGTCCTGTGTAGACACTAGACAGACTCAAGGCTTGTTCACACCGGGATGAATATCGCGCGATTATCGCCGACATTTAACGCCTCATGACTAAACAAAGGGCGCCAATGGGAGTGTGCACACCGACGCGCAAAACGCGAGGTGTAAAAGCGTCATTTAAAAAAAAAAACGCCTCGGGCTCGTTTTTTTGGTTTGACACGCCGCGTTAAAAACTGGCCGACCAATGAGATTGGCGCTTTTGTTCACGTGCCTGGAGCTGCTGAAGTTACAGTAAAACAAGACTTGGTGGCGCTCAAGCACAAAACGGTCTTGCCGAGCACACATTGATACCTAACGACAAAGAGGAAGTAAGTAGACCAAGAAGATGCATCGAGGCAAGATGAATGTAGAGCTGCTGGTCTCATTGGTGTCTGAACACAAAGGGCTTTATGACAAACCCGACAGCGACTACAAACATCTCGATAAAAGGGAGTTGTTATGGAGAGGAATTGCAGATCAAATAGGATTCGATGTGTACCGGGGTATTTCTGTTTTTCATTAAGCGCCATCTAATGTCAGGGAGTGAATTTGCACGTTCGCTCTGCTCATCGCCTGCGAAAATCGCTTGGGTATGAACACAAAAGACGCGTCTAAAAAACGTCGGCGATAAGTGCGCGCGATAATAGTCCCGGTGTGTAGGAGGCTTCAACCTGTTGCGACACGGCGGTGTCACATCCGGTGTAGACACGGTTCACTGTTCCGCTACTGTTATTACTGTTATTTACCAGTTAATATTTGTCAAATACAGTTGAATTTTGTTTTTATAGATGTAATGTGGTGTTTTGGGTTGTGTTTCTTGTTCATGTTTTCATGTCTTTTATTTTGGAGTTTAGTCATGGTCCTTGTTCTGTCATGTGATTCCCTTGTCTGTGTGTTATGTTCTGAATGGTTCTTTGGTTCATGTGTCATGTTCTGAGTGGTTGTCCTAGTCATGTGTGTTGTTTCCTCATTGGTTGGTTCTTGTCATGTGACCCTGATTGTTTGCTATAAGTAGCCATCATGTTGCCTTTGTGCTTTGTCGTGTATTGAATGTATTTATCCTGCTGTCGATGAGTGTTTAAGTCATAGTCAAGTCTAGTCTGTTCAAGTCAAGTCTTCGTTTGTTTGCATTTTGGATTACACGTTGTTTAATAAAATCTGTACTTGGATTCACTACGCTCGCCTACAGTGGATTATCATTACAATATCCATTTTATTTGTGTTAAAAATGTTACATTATTGAAATTTCTTTGCAGGATACTTGATGCATGGCAGGGACATGCATATATAGCTAGACACAAAATCTCACAACTCAAATTAAATATGTATTTAAAAACAGAAATGTAACTTTTAATCGTTTTCACCCTATAGAATACAAATATGCAAACATTCTATGATTTATTGATATTCACTACGCTTGCCTTCAGTGGACTGATTCGTTACAATAGATTGATATATTATAAGAAATAGCTTACTTTGGAGTCATGTCACCCAGCTCTAAATGCACCTTTCCATCTCGCAGGGCATAGGCAAGAATTCGGTCAGCAATTGTAGCCCAGTCTTCAAAAGGTTTTTCTGTCTGCCTCTGGATATAGCTTCCTAAAGTCTCGTGAAATCTGATAAAATTTGAAAACAAAAAACAAATGCAACCATAATCCAATAGTGTCGAACCAATCAGAATGCAGCCTGCCTAAATAGAGCACGAGAACAGAACAGACCGGGCGGGTATACAAACGTAACGCCAGGTTCACACACTCCGTCTGTGGTGCATATTGCACGGAATCTATTTCTGCTGTGCTGAATTAAAGTGACCGCATTACGGTCATGAAGCGGAAATTTTGTAATTACACCATAAATGCATATAATTAAATTCTACTGTTTCACAGTCAACCCATGGCTTTTTGGCTAGATTTAAAACAAGGAAAAGTGCACTTTTAGATAAACAACGCAATAATAGATGGCACTCGTGGGGGTAGTTAAAGTTAAAACTGGTTTAAACATGAATATG